AAAAGACAACACAACCTAATGTGATGGTAAAACCAGAATTTCTTTCTCTGAAAGCTCTTAGGTGGTTGTAGTGTAACGTTTTTTCAGACTGAAAGAGTGCCCATCCAAAAATATTTGATTGGTGTTTAATAATGAGAATTCTTTTTTTAAAACAATGCAAACTGGTGGAGTAAAAAAGTACTATTGTATCTTTTTGTAGTCTATTAGTTGTAAATTTTTTTTTGAGACAGAGAGAGTAGCCATCTTATATCCTTAATTGGTGTTGAAGAAATATTTTTTTTTAAGTAAAGGCATTCCAAACTGATGGAAAAACCAGACCTGTAGATACTTTTGTGCCTCACTTCTAACTTGTTTTCATACTGAAAGAGTAGTCAGCTGTAGCTTGTTTTTAAGCATTTTTGATTTTTTTCTTAATAAAACCTAATTTGAATCTGAAATTTGTTTTTCTTGATTATACATAAAATATTTTAACAATTTGACTCCCATTTTCGATTAAAAAATTCTACCCAATTCTTAAACATTTAGAAAAAAATTCACTTAAAACTCAGTGCCCCTGATTATATTGCAAGTTTTGGGTTTTGTTTGTATGTTTATTATATTTTTTTGTATTTTAACCATTTATGTTTGAATTTAAAAGTCTTGGTATTATGTGAATTCAATCAAAAAAGGATTCCTGTTTAAATGTGTGTTTTGTTATTACTATATGAATCTGTGTTCAATTCCCTAACATTAAATAGTGTTTTGATTATTGGATTGTTGTATTAAAATCTAGAAACTAAATAGTTTTTCTTTCATTACAAAATTTATGAATCTGTGTTACAAGTGTTCAATTCCCCAACATTAAATAGTGTTTTGATTATTGGATTGTTGTATTAAAATCTAGGAACTAAACAGTTTTTCTTTCATTACAAAATTTATGTTCTTTTTTGATATGTTTCAATATTAAAGGGTACTTTTTTCTGTGAAATTTCAGAATTGCAGTAATTTATATGTTAAAGGGCTAATTTGTATATGTATACTTACAATCTTTGTTAAATGGTCAATTTTTGTATTATGTTTTCCATGTTAAATGTTTTTTTCTGTATATGTATGTATTATTTCATTGTTTAAGGGTTTTTTAATGTGATATGAATATTTAAAATTACTGGAGATTTTCTTTTTATTATTACTTCATTATGTAATGTGTCCTTATTAAAGGGTTCTTGATTTTTAAGTTGTAGTTATTTGTTTAAAGGTTGTGTTGTTCATGTTGTGTTTAAATATTTATAGATATGAGAGAAAGGTAACATGCTTCTTGACCATTTTATGAGTGTAAGATTAATTGGGTTTTAAAATTAAATTTATTATCAGCTTGAAGACTAGACTGAAACAGTACGAGAAGGAAAAGTATGGCATGTAAGCATTTAATGAATTTTATACTTTCACATTTTAACGTAGAACTTTTCAAAATATTTTATCCTGAATCTATGCAGTTTTCACATAACACATGGTCATGAAAACCAATAAGTTGACGCAGTTTTCACATAACACATGGTCATGAAAACCAATAAGTTGACGCAGTTTTCACATAACACATGGTCATGAAAACCATTTCAAGCTTCCAGCAATTTTTAAAAATTTTCCAGGAAAGGATTTTGTTTCCAAAACTTCCAGGAATTGTAGGAACCTTGAAGAATGACCTTGTTGCTTGCAACACCTTCAGTTACCGGTAACAAAGAAGCTGTGTCAATAAAAACGACGTCAGATTCAGTACTGGTGTTGTTTGGTTTCATATATTAAAGGTACACATGTAGAAAATAATGTGAATTTTCGTTTTCTACTTATTTAGTAATAAAAAATTTCTAATTATTTTATGTGTCACCTGATGTCACATATGAGCTGTTGTTTCTTAGTTTACTACTGATATATGTGCTTAATTATTAACTTCTTTAAGTTAATACACAAAAAAAGGTTGTGTTCAATGAAAATCAGTGAGCATGGAGCTCTAAAAATTTGAAAAAATGAAATGCAGAGCAATCCATAAAAATAGAAACTTCTACAATGTTTATATTGCTTTCATTTTTACATCATTTTTTCTAATATGAAAGCAACTCTATTATATTTCACTGTACGAAAACGTTAAATGTAATTATCTTATGTGATACTGCACCAAATGTTTTAGTGTGTAATAATTCAATTTTTACTAAGTCATTTATTAAGTGAGAAAGTATCAGTAAATAAAACAAATATGGAGACAGATAAAAAAAGCTAAACACATTTCTTTCACAGTTGGCAGCACACATAGAGTAAAATCAGAAACAATAAACATCACTTTTACAATGAAATAAAAGCAGAAAAGATTGCATTCATAATTTACCAAGTGCACATTTAACTTATTTTCAAAATGTGATAAAAAAGGCTGCTCTATTTGAAAACAACTCACTCTGAACAAGTGATAGATGGATTCAGTACTTCATTATAAAAACATAACAAAGTAATACAACATAATTTATGACAGTAAATAAAACACACATGCAGTAATCGTGACTCTAATATCATCAAGTGAAACAGCCAAAAGGCTTGTAGGTGAAACTGTTCAACACAACATAATAAGAAACAGTTACAATCTTTAATATTATGATGTTATTTTTAAGCTAAAACAACAGGATTGTTAATATTCCTGATAAAAATCTCACTAGACTGTGTATATTTCTTTAATCTATGTATTTCTAATTAGTTCATTATAGATCTCAGTTCAGATTTATGAATGTTCTCCTGGACAGTAACTTATGCCATACAGAAAATAGATCTGATTTGAAACACTATTTTTACACACTTTATATTTGAAGAATGTAATGCAATAAGGAAAAGAAATGTGTAAAAAAAAATATCTGCAGTCTGATGTTATTTTTATCACAAATATGAAGTCTATATGTTACAATATTTTTATTCATATTCTAGCTCATAAACTACATATGAAAGAGTACAGTAACACTGGTTATGTTAAAACAAAGAATCACAATACCATGAGGACTGCAAATAGATAAAATCAGAGTAACTGTCATTTAAGTCCAATCTGAATAGTTGTTGTAAAATCCCATGAGCACTGTAGTTTGATCAGATACACAAAATGTTTGGGAGAATCATAATGACTACTGTCAGAAAAGATCACAAGAACAAATATTTGTGAGGTTCATTAAGAGTTTGGTCAGGTTTACAGAGTCTATCATTTGAATCTGATCGGTTATTTGAGAGAACTAGGAGAATTGTGATAAGATCAGAATCAGAACTGGATCTGATGATAATAGTTATTTAAGAAGATTATAAGAAATTTGTTTAGAAATAATCACAGGGAACTAAAGTTTTGATGGATTTTAGGAGTTAACTTTACAATATTAAGAAGACTTGCCTAAAACTGTGATGAACAGAAACGAGAATAGAAACTGCAGTTACAGAAGATTAATAAACTATGGTTTTGGAATTAATACTGGATCCTTAAGTGAAACAAAAAAGTTAATCCTTTATTATCTTCCAGTTCACCACCCTTATAAAATCATGATGTTGTTCACAGCATAAAAGTACAACAAGCTACATAACATTTGAATACCCATAAGAAATTAGAAGGTACAACAAATGAATTAAGCCTATTCATGTGGTCTCAAAATTTATGCAATTACAGCAAAATATAAAAACTGTGCTGTAGCTAAGTTTTTAAAAATAATGGAATGTCTAATAACTTATTACATTCTCTTAGAGCTCTTGTGACAAAAAATTAAACTGCTATAACTAACCAAATGTTGTTAAGTATTTAAGAATAAGATAGGAAATGGGATGAAGGTAGTTACCAACTGCTTAATTCTATAAAATCTGAAGATCAAAACAGTATTTTAAATTTGCTTTCTTAGACAAGATTTCACCTTTCCATATCTGAAAGAAAATTATAATATTAGATACCAATACTGTCTTTCGTGGACTTTTTCTCAGAGTTAGTAAATCTAAATATCCATTTACTATT